GTAATAATAAATTAAGCAATTATGTTCTATAGAACACGGAATTCAGGCAAAGGAACAAATGATCTCGTAAAACATCTATATATATTTCCACCGGAAATTATTCCAATAATCCTAGCTACTGATTATATTCATGCTGAAGGTTATACTTGGACCGAAAACAAGCGTAGCACTAATACCATGTTTTTTTTTTTACTTGATATTCATAATTAATATTTGTTTTAACTATCATTTTATCAATGGTCTTTAGAAACTTGAGGTAAAGAGTTTGGCATGCTAAACCAAATGTTCTTGGTCTAATAATATTTTATCTCCCCGAACATAGTGTAAACAATTAATGTCTTAAAGGGAATTTTTCCCGCACTGTTGTGTTATTAATAAAATGACGTCACATTGACAGTTAAGGTAGACAATATCTCAGTCGGAAAAGTGTAAGCGTCTATCAATTATTACAAGTACCTATAGCGGGTCCAACAATTTTTATTCAAATTTTATCCCTTTATTTATTCCCCCTTTTTTCTAAAGTAAATTATATATTATATATTATAAAGATAAATATATATTTCTAAGGCCTGTGGTAAAATATAAAAAGATAACATTTTTATTATTGAAGCAAATGACCTTAAATAAACATGTATGGTTCTTTTGATATGCGCCAGAGTGTTTGTGACTCGATACAATGCAGCAGGACGACATCGTAAAAAAAAAAAAACTACTATATACAGTGTACATAGATTTCAAATATTCAACATATATGGGTGAATTAAAAAAGAATGACCAAACGCATATTTATCAACCCACACTAAAAATACAGGCTATGAAAATAGATTTCTATGTCTCAGCATATGTCTTTAGATAGTGTCTAAATACCTGCCAAATATATCATTGATATCTCAATTAACAAAAAAGTTATGCCCAAAAATGATTCTAAAATTGTCAGGAGTGCAACGCCTTTTTGTGAGATTTTGAAATTTCAATATTTTTTGGAGATCTGTGAAATAGATAATAATAATGCTTTATGATGAAAATAAAGACTTTCCTGATAATATTCGAGGTATTGAGCTTTAAATGTGGACTGAAGTAACTTTGTTTAATCAAGTTGTGGTCATGGCTGTTGTTCAAAAAATGTTATACCATGTCAGGAGTGCAACAGAAAAAAATGCAGTGTTGCCAAAAAACATCAATTGTAAAATTCTGAAAGAAAATTACCACAAAAAAGAAAGTTCGAAGTGTAAAACAATAACTGATATACATTTGAAAACTTAAAAATGTTATATAAATCACAAGCAGCATTAATGAGAGTCAAGTATATGTGCATACCCAATAATGTCATGAGTGCAACATTTGATTTTTTGCTTCCAGGCATGAAAAAACTATTATCATTATATTATTTTCTGATTTTTATTTTGGAAAATAAAGACACAAAAAACATTTTTACCAAATAGATTTATCAATTACAGAATCTGTCTGTGCTTCAGATCTATATTTCTATGGTCAGGAGTGCAAGACATTTTTTTTGGATTCAAGTTTTGTGACAAAAACACTTCTATTCATGCTCAGAAGTATTTATTAATTAAAAATGATCTTTTTGTATAATTTAATACTAAATTATTGACAGTTTTATGACTAAAATCCTTCCTTTTTCAAATTTATCAATTCAGATGTGTTTTTATCTTTTTGTGATTTTTTTAACGAATGTTAAAAATAAACAAACCAAAAAATTGTCATAAAATTTAAGTACTTCCTCCTCAACTTCACTGAAACAACAGAACAAGTTCTTATGTAATTTTCACTTCACAATTCTACTTTAAAGGCCCCAATGCTTTTGGTCAGGAGTGCAACAAATATGTTAGAATCATAAATCATCCAATAAGAATAAAAATAAAGAAAAAATGATGAATAGAATTTTTCTGGTGGGTTACTGTGTTTGTCCTCTAAAGGAAAATATGCTATGAAATATATTTTATCTTCTAAACATAGTTTTAAGCTAGTTTTTTGGCATAAATAGGGAATAATTCCAGATAAAATGCGAATTTTAAATACTTTCATCTGTTTTAATTATGAAGTCCAATTGGACTATAAATATTGCACAATTTCATTACCATTTGATGTTGCCAACACTTTTCGTGTTCTATGGTTTTAATTTTAAATTTCACTGCAGTCAGGAGTGTAACAAAACTGCTTTATAATTACCAATGCTTTTTAGTATCTTTACTAAAAAAATAAGTTGAAAAAAATGTTGATACTATTTGATGTTCAAAACACTACGTCTTTCAACAAATTACAGAAATTTTACAGTCGATTCAGGGAATAGTTTTCATCTTTTCACATATATTTTTAAATACAATTTACATACATTACACTTTGCAAATAATCACGTTTTAAGGTCTTCAAAATATGAAAAACCTGCCGTAAACAATGATAAATATCAAAACGACAAATTGATTTACAAAGTAAGAATGAGTTATTGTGTGTTATAACTTTTAAAACAATGTTACATAAAATACATATCAGATGTCAGGAGTGCAACACAATAATGTAACATAGGGTCACTTCAAAATCTAGTACTTTTTACAAGAGAACTTGTATATAAAAATTCTTTTTTGCCTTAGATTTAAAGAATTGACTTGAACGGACAAAAAAGTGAATTTTGGGGAAATTTATTGCTTCATTTTTTTCATATTAAAACTTTTCAAACCAGAATTGAAAAAAAAAGTAAAATTACAATCAAAAAGCCAATTTTTTTGTCACATATGCAAGAGAAGATACTCAATCAAGGTCTATATTTTTAAAAATATTTATACCCCTTTTACCATTTTGAAGCATAAAAAACTATAATTTCTTGTGATTATGTATTTTAGAAAGTCTTTTAAGATATATATGATATTTTCTTTTTTCAAAAGAAATTTTACTAATAAAAATTCTGAAACTTTTTAATCAAATGTCTATTCTATTGCCACTTCAGGATTTTAAACTAAAATGCATGTCCAATATGATGATATAAGTGAAAAATATGTTATAAGTAGTTGAATTTTTCCAAAAAAATTCAGTTTGGTGGTCATTTTTTATGAATTCACCCCAATCGCAGTTGATTAACTAGGTTATCAATTGTAAAGTCTAGTGAACGAAGCGTAAACGTAAACTCTTGCTAACGAGACCTATAGATTTATACCAATATTATACTTTCATGTACATGTAAATTAGTTGAATCTGATTCGTCGAGAAACATTTGTTAAAAACACTATTACCCGCTGACTAATGAAGCCACACCCTCAAGCTTAGCAACAGTCAACATTGCTTGACGACGGGTGATATTTGTATTGTATAATGTTTATTGTATTGTATAATGTTTATTTGTATTCTATAATTTTTCATTTGTATTGTATGATTTTTATTTGTATTCTATAATTTTTTTATTTGTATTCTATAATTTTTCATTTGTATTCTGTAGTTTTGCATTAGCATTCAATATTATACAAAACAAATGGAAAATTATACAATACAAGTGGAAACTTAAAAAATACAAATAAAAATTTTATATTACAAACGGAAAATTATAGAATACAAATGGAAAAATATAGAATACAAATGAAAAATTATAGAATACAAATGGAAAATTATAGAATACAAATAAGAATTTTGCAATACAAATAAAAAATTATAGAATACAAATTTGAAATTATACATGTACAATACAAATGGAAAATTATCCAATTTAATTGGAAAAGATTGAATATTGCAACGTTTGACATGCCAAAGTTTTAGGTAATTTTTCGAATTGATGATATAGATTAAATCCCAAATATGAAATTGAAAGATAATTCATGAGAAAAGTCGAAACGGTCAGGGGGTCTATATCGGGAGGGGGCTGTCGTCAAGCACCTGTGATCTTTTTCAAGATCGATTTTATCTCTTAAAATGATTGTAAAAAATTAAGTTAAAATCAATATAAAATAAAATATTCTCTATTTTCATACTAATATAATATTTTTCACAAAGTTGCAAATGCTTTGAATGATGACGCCACAACTGCATAAAAACAAAAATTTGCGAGAATTTGAAGACGGTGCAGTAGGCCAATATGGGGGAGGGGTAAAGATCAAAGTGGTACAGAATGACATTTTTCATGAATATGCAAGTCGCCAGACTGCATGTGTGTGAAATATATGAGAGTATTTTTGAGAAACTCATGACGTTATGTTTTTTTTTTTTTTTTTTTTTAATTTTTACGTTATATTGATGTTAAGTGTTCTGGTAACATCATTTTTTGATTTTAGAATTAAGTAACATGATTTCCATTTAATTACTTGGAATTAAACTTCTCACATCAAAAAAAAAATATTTTTTTTCATACGAAAATGTGCTGATCTTGAATTTTTTTTAAATAATATAACAAAGATTGGCATTATCCGCGAACTTTTCGAACACCCCTCGAAAGTATGCTTTTAAATTATGTGAAAAGCATTTTTAAAATTGTCAATTTTTTGTAAAAGATTAAAAAACAAAGAGAGACGGTTACAGTGTAGGTATTGACATGCCAACTCTGCGATTCCTGCTTCTACAGGTATTCATATTTTTTTATGTCAGGATATCATTATTGCAGGTAGCATGTTTCTTGCGACTATTGCAGTGAGAAAAATGAAACCGATCACAGCTTCTCTAAAGTTTTAAAGCTTGAAAATTTTAAAACATTATCAAAAGAAAAAAATCACCACCGCTAAATAAATATTTCAGGGAAATGACAACACAGTGCTTGTATTCTTGGGACTTCAGGACCATTCATCTATTCTTTCCGTTCTATACTTATCCTTCATTTAGGAGAGAAATATTGGAAGAGCTTTAAACGGCAAAATAATGAAGTACTGTACATCTTCCCCATACTTTTAACAGCGATTGACTTGGTGGTGAGCATGCTATATCAGATTGTCACTCAATTTGATTTACCAAAGACAAAAACACATTTCATCTGTATTCAAATATTCATATCACAATAATTTCTCAATTCAAATTATTGCACTTAAAAATTATATATCAATTGCACTGTCCCAAATATCAATAGTCTCAGATTTCCCCCTTGTCTATCACAACTCAGATTCCCCATCACAATTCATGTTGACTCCTGGTCGATCACAACAACTTAAGATTTCCCAGGTTCTCTCTTGCACTGTCTACGTGATTTCGTACACCGGAAACGCATTGGCTGCTGGGAGAGGTGCAAACGGAAAAGTGGAGATTTGTACTTGATGTCGTAGAAAGGCTGCAATTACAAAGGTCATGCATCATGTTTCATCATTTAAGTATTTTTAAGAATAAGTACTGATGAACAGGGGAATATTAAAGGAAAGAATAAAGATGACACATCTTTCTGTAGACTCTAAGAAAAGAAGTAATTAAGGCCATCTTTTAAAAAAAAATGTTTGGTTGCCCTCTCCTGACCGACTGACTAAAATGGCTAAACTAAAAACTTTTTTTAACATTCCAGGACACGATTTTTTCTTTATTCCTCTTATCCCGTCAACAAATATATTGAAATTTTTTGGAAAAAAGATTTTCCCACCTACCTACACCCAATAATTTACCCTGAGTCGGGAGAGGGCAAACACACATTATTTTAAAGATGGCCTAATATTGAAAATTAGGAAATTAAATGATCCTTTTGATAGCTATTAGAATTAAATTTTGAAGGAGCACTTACCTCAGCCTTTCCGTCCTTGTATGTGACTTTTTTGTAAGGGTTGTATCGAACACCACTACGAATCACGTGATCAGTGCTTGGGCTGCCATGATGCTCATACTGGAAAAATAATTAAAAGCTATATGCTTCTTGGTTTGCTAGGAGGTATGATAAATTACCTGAGTAACTTGACTTACAAGGATATTCATTTTGTAGGTCTGTACTACAGATTAAATACACTCACGGAGTTGTGTGTGGAATGTCTATGGCTGTGATACCCCCAACTGCACTCGGCTGTACCCCACCTTTCGTACGAATCAAAGTCATTGTCACAGTACTGTTCGGTAGGATCAGAGACACAATATTGTCTTGCCGACGGGATGTTTACCACAGATGTCTGGTACCCTGGAGACATGCGATTGTCTTGGTGTCTCTGGAAAAGTTGAGAAATAATTATTAAAATTTTAAGAGGCAAATTCAAAACAGTTGACAAAGTTTTCTGATTATTATTTAGAAATATATAAAATTTTAAATACATGTATCAATGAATCTGGAAGTTCATGAAAAAATTTAAAAGCTCCATCCTCCCCTTCTTTTTTTTTTTGGGGGGGGGGGGCACAACCTCACTCTTTTATCTTCATTTCTCAATGATTTACCTCATAAGAACGAGAAGTGGTCACTGTCACTTGACGAGTGGAATGGTAAGCTGAATTGTACCGGTACTGGTGGTATGGTTCAGCATTACAAGACGACAGTGCAAAACTGTATGCACCGCCTGACCTCTGAAAATACAGCATGCCTCATTTAAAACATGCCTGACAGGAAGGTAGGAAGATACTGAATAATTACCTTAATGTCTATTCTACGATCCAAATAATTCATTTAAATTCTGGCGTTTTATCCTTTATATATATATATAGACTGTCGGATATAAAGAAAAAGGGGGTTGGGGTAGAGGTGTTTAAAACAATTTTGATGCCATACTTCAGGGGCCTAATACACACATTATATCAAATTTTCCCAAAATTTTGCTTTTTTTCAAATGATAGTAGGGAATCTAGAGATTGTGATCGGAATTATGAGTCGATAAAATTGGGTACATGCACATTTTTCTTAAAAACTAAGAAATATTAACAAAATTTTCCGTTAAACTTCCAAAATGCTAAAAATTACCATTTTAGCATTGTCTTGATTCATCTAGTCTTTTGAATAGCGCTCTGAATAAGCTGATATCGATAAAAATAATCGCTTGAAATTACACACGTCCGCACGCTACAGTTCGTGGTGTAACTATGAGGATAAACAAAACGTAACCTCCAGCAACGGTTGCGATGATGACGTCATCAAATTATTACATTCCATTTACTTTACAACATTTTTTTTTATCTTAAATTATTTAACATGCGGTAGGATTTAAAGATATCTAATTTTTTTTTAAATTTATATCTATAGGTATTTTTTTTTATTGAATCCCATGAGAAAATACATTTCTCGGAATATTCGAGATCAAGAAATTAGATAATACAAATACCTTAAAATTTTACGCATTTTTAAACCTCCAGTAAACATTGGAAAATCCATGTTTTTCTTTCAATTCATCAAAACAAATCCAATTTTCACTAAGATTTTTTTTTAAAATGCTTATCGCAATTTTGACGTCACAATGGAATTCACGTTATTACATTTGGCGCGTTTTCTGTAGAGACATTTAGTACGCCTGTCCTACAATTACAGTCTTCAAAAACAAAACAAAACAAAAAAACAAAACAAAACAAAACAAAACAAAACAAAAAACAAACAAACAAACAAAAAAAAAACGAAACAAAAACCTTCTATTCTCCTTTACCTTTTCATTCACATTCTCAAGACCATAACCTGAGAACAGACTTACATGTATGTGTGTTGAAATTTCATATTTGTAGTATTTTATGGCTTGAGAAAAAAAGCGAAAATAAAACAGAATTTTTGTCACGTGTCTGTATAAAGTATTATTCGCGTTTGAATAATTAATTATACGGCAACTTGCAACTTAAACGTGTTGGTTAAATAAACAGGCACGTAGTATCGTTTAAAAATGAAAGCAACCCGAGAAAAAAAGTTAAATTGCAGCTGACCTGAAAAAGTTTGACAAAAATAAAGTTGTCCAAACTCGAAAATCCTACTTCGTCGGGGGAGTTGTGGGGGGTGGTTGTGTTACCGCATCACCCTGATTTGACTGGGGGGGGGGGGGGGGACTAGCCTTTTCGTGAACACTAAAAGCTAGGTTATTTTTTGGGGGGAAAAAGTTGGGGTGGCTTTACTACGTGTATGAAATTGACTACAAGATATCAGTGGCGTTGGCAAAGGGGCGGCAGGGGCGGCAGTCGCCGCCCCTATAATTTTGCAACCAAAAAAAAAAAAAAAAAAAAAAAAAAAAAAAGAAAGAAAAGGAAATTTTGAATAAGAAATACAAAATTTGTAATGGCAATATCTGTGGTCAATGAAGCCGCAAGAATAATGGTAATGTGTGGTCGATGGAGCGGTAAAGTGTGAAAGCTATTGTTTACAAACACAAATTGGAATGTACATACTGTACGTGTATACCTGTACCTGGCGGGTGCGTATACAATAGGCATGGTATCCATCGCTCTCCGTGCAAGTTGGCTACAAATTCTCCATCAGGCCCACAGCTACACTGTAGCAATATTTTTGGAAATTCTATTTTGGGGGAGGGGGGGAGGCGGGGTGGAGATTCTATAAGATTCCGATTATTTTTTCTTTTCGAATGCTGGAATTTGTCCGAATTCGACCTAACAGCAACAAAAAGTGTGTATGTAAAGGGGGAGGGGGGGGGGCGAGCAGCGTCTAAATGAATGAATTTTTACATATGGAAACTTAAGCAAAAAAAAAAAAAAAACTATTCTCAGAAAAAGTTGAGAAATTGGGCAAAAATTGGAGCCCCCTTCCTGACACCTTCCCCTTCGTAAAAAAGAACCTGTTCATAGTATAATGAATTGGTCTATTGATGTTTGAAAATCTTTGATGAATCGAAGTTGTAAGCTGTTACATTAAAGCAAAATACATGTACTGAAACACTGGGTAAAAGTAAAACAACTTCAGCTGTTTTTTTTTTATACCGTCATACGTATTTCTGTTAATCGTCCTGTTCAATTTAAATTTCATAATTATGCATTCTTTCGGTAAGTAACGATAAATATTATACAATAATAGAAAATTATATGCATTTTAATTTTTATCTCGTCGTAAATTCTTCAAAGTTCTTTCTATGCTGTTTCTAATAAAAAAAAACAACTCACTAGCTCCTAGATATTTAAAAATATTCCGGTTTTGTTTTATTTATTATAGTACATGTAACTTAAAATACATAAAACATTTTTTGATTGCATGTTTAATTGTTCTTTTTTAAATCAGAAAATACCTCAAAGCTATTGATTTAATGAGAAAAATATCAAGATTTTGATGAAAATTTTAATTATTTAGTTCATGTCACAAAAAGTTGTTTAGGACCCCCCTTTTCGATCCAGTTCGCCTCCCCAATGTCAAATACTTGCCGACGCCCCTGGATATGGCCCATGAACTTTACAATTCATGCTTTCAACTGCATGTGTCAGTTAACCTTATATAGAAATAAACGCTTTGGGTAAAATTCAAAACGTACATTTCCTGTGCAAGTTACATATTTAATTCTTTCCTTTTTTAATTGTTAATTTACTTGCCGTTGTTCAAGTGACCAGTGCTTTTAGCATAAATCTGAAACTTAAAATTAAAGTTCAATTTTAGAACTTTTCCACGTTTTCCAACAAATTGCTGAAAAGTGCCTGACAAGGGGTTGGAACACCCCCACCCCCCTCCACTTTGATTTTCAGTTTAGTTTTAACAGTAAAATAACAACAACAACAAAAATGACTTCGGGCTTCCCTGGAAACACAGAAAATAAAGTAAAGAGGCTTGTCCATGTTAAGTGCCCCCCCCCCCCCTAAAAAAGAAAAATGAAAAGAAATGGTGTTTAAACAGTTTTAGTTCCTGCTTGTTTTGGTATTTCATTTTTGTTTGTGTGTGTGTGTGTGAGAGAGAGAGAGGGTGTGTGTGTGTGTGTGTGTGCGTTTGTCAAAATGACATTTTTAATCGTCGGATTTTCTTTCTTTTTTTCTTTTTTTGAGTCAGTATGAAGTATGGACCCTTTCTGGATCCGCCATTGCTGTCTATCCAAAATTGACAAAATCTTTTGATATTAGAAATGAACTGAGCCTTCTGGTCTTCTGTTCTAATAAGCAAATATGAAAGAAGATTCCGAATACGATCATGTCAATGAAAACGAGAAAATTGAAAGCAAAGCTCACTTAAGTAGCTCATTACCCAGCATATCAATTATAATGATGTATTGAAATTTCTGTAAAACATACATTATTTAGCACCCTAAAAATTAACCTGTTGGGCAATATTTCTCATCAACTGATAAACATTATCATAAACTGATAAATAAGCATGTACAAGCAGCTGTGCAAAAGGACTAAAGTATCATCACCATTAAATTAGGTAAACAAATAAAACAGAATTTTTTTTTAACCTTTTATATGAAAATAAATTGTGCTTATACTAAAAAACTTTTATAGTCAGTTACAACAATAATACCTATGAATATAAAATATGAATTACCAATTACGTTCAACTTGGAGAAGAATATTGGAATGTTATGTATACCCCATCTATTTAATGCAAAATTGTGTAAAATTGTTACCCACAGAAGTGGACTCCTGCCTAGTTTACATGTCTACCTATTTCTTTTTTATATTGAAGAATTTTTGATTCAAATAAAAAAGTAACTTTCTATATGTAGAAAGGATATTATAATTTTATTCCTTGATTTATATATTAATCATTTCACAAGTACAGAAGAAAATAGGACTTCATATAGAATCACTTAAAAAATAACATTAGTTTCACAATTTAAATAAACACGTACCCTACAAAATGCCCAATATAAAATAAAAGCCTTGAACCAAGAATTCAATCTACAAGCATAAATAATTAAATGTACATATACATGTACATCACATACATTTAATCACTTGTAAAATCTGAGTGCAGTAACAAAAAGGTATATGCTAGTGATTTAAATACATTTGAAGAGCTGTGTCGAAGAAATTCAAGTACACTGTACATAAAGCTATATAGTAGAAAATCAAGAGACAATTGTAACTTTTAAATGAAATGTTAACATATATTCCTTGAACACAATCATTCAAAATAAAATATATCAAATGAATTTGAAAAATCAGGCAACTCACTTTCTCATTCATCCTCATGAAATGTACACATTAATTGTCATTAACTGAATTACAAAAATGATAACGATGATCAAGTTGATTTCAAGTGAAAGCAAATACACCTCCAAAATCCAACCATAACATAATACAGTGAAATTTTTTTACCAAATGTGATCTGAACTTTAATATATACTTTAAAAATTATACATGTAAATTATCGAAACTCAGTTCAGTTAACATCTGCCCATTCTATACTTCATTGTCTAAGATTCTAGGTTTGTTACAAAATTTCAAAAAAGGCCTTATGTTGTAAATTTCATAAAAAGCTTTGAAAATAAGTGTTTAACCAGAAATTAAAATTACCCATCCTTTTCCTAATGCTCTTTAAAGTTCCCTTTTAAATCATCCCAATTAAAACAACTTCTTTAATTTTGGATTGCATTGTACATTATCATTAGAAAAGGGGGCATCTGTGCAGTAAAACATGCATGTTATGATGTAGATGACCGATAAAAGGAGCTTAATGACATATTTATACATGTATCTGAAATTTGTTTCCAATTTAGTTGATGTATCCTTCTTAATACCCCTTTGTGACATAGTATCAATTCATCTATGGCGTGTATTAATATACTCATATAATTATGTCTACTTTGAACATGCCTTTGAAAATTTGAAGAAAAAAATAAAATAAAAAAAGGAAATCACATTGAAAGAGAGCAATATGGAATCCTTACAGGAAAGACAACTCTTCTAGAGATTTATAATTTTCATCATAATTCCTCTTTCTTGTCAGAGTCCTTCACAACTTCCTCTGCCTCCTCCTCTTCAATGCCTTCATCTGTTTCATCTTCATTTTCCTCCTCCTCCTTCTCTTTATCTTCCACTTTCTGAGATTCCTGTACTGGACCCGGTTCTGGCATAGGGGTGTTCAGATCTTCCTCAGAGCAGTATTCTGTGTAGATTTTTGGAAGAGTTAAGACAAGTGAGATTAGTATACTGTAAAGTCACATGCTTTGTGGGGGCAATTTTTCAAGGTTTGAGGGAAAAATATCGGTTTGTGGGGATTTGATTTTGTGGTTGAGAGAAGTTTGTAGTAGTTATATATATAGGATCTCCCATGATTTGTAGTTGGATGTGACTTTTATCCAACGAGTTGTGTGTTTTTTATACCCAAGCCTTGGCGAGGGGATAAAAACACACAACGAGTTGGATAAAAGTCATATCCAACTACAAATCATGGGAGATTCTTTTTATCCCATGTTTAATACTTCACAACCAATGTTTTACACTATTTTATATAGGACTCCACTTTATTTTACTTCATCACTCTAACACAAAAACCATTGTGACGTCACAACTGCACTTAACTGTAGGTTATGAAAAAATATCCAATGAGTCATATCCACGGGATAAAGGGGTAAACATGGGATAAATATATTTACATTTGGTGGTGGACATGAATTTGTGGGTCTCCTTAAATCTTGAAAACCATGAAAATTAAACTCCCAAGTTTAGTGATTTTACAGTAAATGTATGTTATAAAATTTAATTTTTTTCCCTCAAATGTCAATTTCAACAACAGTAACTGTAATGAAAAATCTGTGGTACTAGTGTTCTGGTAATGAAACATATGACAGCTACATTGTATAGCACTACCTGTTGAAATCTACGACTTACCTGCAATTTCTCCACACACTTTCTTTTCCACTTCTGGAAGTTCTCCATCTCGAAAGGCTCGGATTATCTGGTCTTCATATTCCTCCGCTATTGTCTCACACTAAGATTATATAATAATGGTACGTGTCACATGTATTATTAGAAAAATAATCTTAATGTTATTAGTGACTATGTTATACAGTATAATTATTAAGTTTTCTGTTGCTTGTCATTTGACTGATTTCTTGACTGTAGGCCAATGTGGAAGTTACATGTAGTGTCAATTAATTGAATTGGGTCCCTGAATATGGCACACCATAACTCCTTGACTAACCTAAAACCTTTAAACTAGTCACTCATCCAGAAAATGTAAGTCATATCCAGCATCTGAAGCAAGTTTGAGAGTGTTCATCCTGTGATGCATCATCCATTCAAGTTTGGTTCAGATAGCCCTTATAGTTTACTTTAACCTGGTCACTCATCTGGAAAATGTAGGTCAGATCCAGCATCCTTAGATGTATCATCCATGCAAGTTTGGTCAATATAGGGCTTAAAGTTACTTGGAAATGAGACCTGCTCTAAAAATTTTAACCTGGTCACTCATCCGGAAAATGTAGGTCAAATCCAACATCCGAAGCAAGTCCAGTAGTGTGCATGCAAGTTTGGTCAATATAGGGCTTATAGTTACTTGGAAATAAGACCTGCTCCAAAAACTTTAACCTGCTCTAAGAACTTAAACCTGCTCCAAAAACATTAACCTGGTCATTCTTCAGCTGAAATTGCAGCATCTGAAACCTTGACTGGTACAATGAAACACACTAGAAGCATCTTCCATGCATCTCTGATTAATATAGAGCATAGAAGCAAAGATTGTCCGGTGTCCATATTTCATGAATCAAAAACACTGCAGAAAGAAACTTTTTCCTTACCGTATGTGTTAATAGTTTCATCCCCTCCATTGTAATCTGTATGTCTTTGAGCACCAAAGGTTTGCCATCCCTGGAAACCATTCTTACTATACTTCTCTTTCCTATCTCATTTTTTGTATTCCCATACTGCCTGAATTTTTCACAAATTGTCTCAAAAACCTCTGTAAGATGAACCTCAGATCTTGCATAGGGTACCTGTAAGGCAAAATATACAACTGTATTTTCAGAAATTAATTGAAATTATATCTAAAACATGTACTCATTCTGAAATAAAACAATTTTCAATGACTGTATAAACACATTTCAGTAGTGACTGTGTACATGATTTAGAGGAGCAAAGAAAATTAATAGATGATGGTGCCTACTGCCTATGAATTATGAATGGTTACAATACATGAATACTGTATACAAGGTTATTTTTGCCCTGTGTTGAATTATTTTTGCCCTTTCACACTTGCAAACAATTTTGCCCAGTTTTAATTTTGCCCAGTCACAGTTTTGTTTCAGAAAATATTCTTTTTTTTATTTGAATTCGCCCTGTCTTAAATTCGCCCACTATACAGTATGTTTTTTGTATAACTTAATTACGCCAAAAAAATAATAGTTTTGTTTCCTGCTACCTGACCTACCCTATTTTTTTGCACCCGACCCTAAAGTTTTTTTTTAAGTTTTGGAAGAAAAAATTTCATCGTTCTGTCACCGTAATCGTTTCCGTGTTAACACAAAACAAGCATTTCATGAAATTCTTGTTTTAAATATGGACTTTCATAAAATACCACTTGAGTTGTGCATAAAAAGACATGAAATTTAATTTTGAAAGACAATATTGACCTGTGACATGTTTAATTTTATCTTTTATTAGTTCATATCCAAAAAATGTTGTCGGAAAAAAAAATAAAAATATAAAATAAAATAATTTTCCTACCTACCTACCCTATTTTTTTCAGGTTGGTAGCAGGAAACAAGACTATTATTTTTTTGGCCTTACCTCCATAATTTTCTGGTTTCCTTTGGAGTCCACTCTGAAGCTGCCAACTTGAACTTTCTGTTTGGAGTTGACTGAGGAAATACTGTGGTTAACTTCATCAGCTAATGCCCTGCAAACTACAAGACAGAGACTGAACAGATGTATATTTACACCATTCTGACATCAAAATAAAATTTACAACAAAAAAAATTAATGTTACTCCACTGTTATCTATATGAAATTACTGTAACCTAGGCTTTTAAAAATATTTGGACAGAAAAATAGTCATAAACTTATAATTCTAGGAATATATAAGATACATTATTTTTAGGACTGGGACAATACCTGTATGTCAAATTATTGATTCTGTGTGATGGTGATACACATATTAATAGGTAATATGTAGAAATATCAAAATATCGCAAACAAATTTTCAGACTTATTTTTCTTCATTTATTTAATTTTGGATTTAATATATAAAATAAATATTATACTAAATATAAATAAGAAATCGATAATACCATGATTAAAAGTGACAAAAAAGTTGTTTTAAAACAGATATTCAGCTGCTATGAATAAATTATTCTTATTTGTGAAGAAATACAATGTACATGTACATTTAGTTTGTTCATTTCAAATACAAAAGCAAGATTTGATAACCAAATCCAGATATAGTTATATATATATATATATGTATGTATCGTATAATGGAACAAATCAATGTAGAAAATGTATTATCATCCCAGCTGCCCTAATAATTATAATAGCATGAAAACTTGTCATTGCAGTGATTTGATCTTTTTTAAATTGCTTGAACAATGTTAATTATATAGAATTCATAACATCAATATGCAATTAGTAGCTGAAAGCTATGATTTTTAGCTCACCTGAGCTGAAAGCTCAAGTGAGCTTTTCTGATTGCATTTTGTCCGTCATCTGTCTATCAATCTAGCTGACTTCTTAACAAGAACCTCTAAGCCAATTTTAACCAAAATTACCACAAAGTATCCTTGGATATATAAAAGGAATTCAGGTTTGTTCAAATGAAGGGCCACACCTTCTTCCAAGGGGAGAAAATTACAAACAAGTAAAAAAAAAAAAAATGGTGAAAAAATTGGGGGGTGGGGGGTGGGGTTGGAGGTAGGTGGTCAGTTTTGCTTATATTTTCATTCACTTGTTGAAAGGTTACTGCATCAACTTATAAAGTTACCTGCACAGTAGAGTTCATTGTCTCTCTTTGATTCCACAATCAATAGAGATCCTACGATTAGCAGCAGGAGACGTAGATCCATTTCTACAAAATACCCCCGGTAAATGTACAAATTTTACAGAGGGTAAAGTATTATACTTTATGACAGATATATTTAAGAAAAAGTTCAGCACTGTACATATGATCTGTAGAAAAGATGAGTTTTACTAATATTTTTTTTTTAAATATGATTGTTACTTCATATCTACTGATGTGGTCGATTTTGATTGGTGAGTTGTCAAAACTTTTTCCATCTATCATTTGAAAAATAAAGCTTATATGGCATGCGCCTAAATACCAAAGAATAAACTCAAACTGACAAAAAATTTACATATGACCGTCTTCACACTGCTTGAAACACAATAAAATACACATTACATGCTATGTTTAACTTCTCCACTGCACCGGTTCTGTCGACAGGTGCTCAACTTCCACTTTCAATTTCAACTGCCACTTACATCACCTTAAAAATTCATGCTTGAACTTAAAAGTCAGCTTTCAATTTTTATTTCAAATGAACTCTATTTCATTTCTTTATTTCATTTTTGTTCTCTGACAACCAGATTTATCTATTTGAATTCATTATCTAATTTGAAGCCATTTGATTTATGCGGCCTCAAATCGATGTCTACTTTCAGTTTGACCTCGTCTGCGGATCAGCGAAAAGGTAACATTTCTGTTTGCTCACTTGGTGGCTTTTTATTGTACCCACTCAGTTATCATTCCCATCGATGAAGACTTGGATAATATATCCAACAAAGATAATACAATTCCATCACAGAATTTACATTGATATGACATTCAACTTCTAGTTCTAATCCGCACTATGCTATGTACATTGTACCACTGTGGACACTAAATTGATTAAAGAGAAACTTCACCTTTTTAAAGTGTTTGAGGAAATGGTATTCCGCGGTTATGCAAAACTGAAATTTGCATGTACATTTAAAAGCTACGATTTATCATGATTAACCCTCAAAAAAGTTTTTGGAAGAAAAAAAGTGTTTTACATAGTAGGCCTATAAATAGAGACGTAAATAAATAATATATATGTGTTATTTACAGGTGTGAGAATGAGAGGAAAGTTTACATACTGTATGTATCATGCAGCAAAAGCACATTCTGTGTTCTCACATGTGCTATCCAGAGTTCCCATCATTAACAAGCAAATAAAAAGGGGAAAGTTCAGGTATTCACTCATACATTTTGTTTGTATGAAAGATGAAGTTTTTTTGTTTTTATTAAATGTACATGTACAAGGTATTGCTAGTTGTAGCATGTCCTATTTTTAGTTGTTGTTTTTTTGTTTTGTTTTTTTAGAAAGTTTATGCATTGTATAGAGTCAATCAATTATAAAATTTTAAATTAGGGATGGCCAATTGATTCTTAAAGGAGATGGAGGCTAGCAAATATTTTCAGTAAGATTGTTAATTTATATTCATGCCTTCACAGGACAGAATATTATTTCTAAGATGACCTGGGACAGATTAAGATTTTTTTTTCGGGGGGGGGGGGGGGGGGGGGGGGGGTCCAGTCAAGATCAAGATCTTATTAAATTTTTTTTTTTTTGCCAGTGAAGGACAGATTTACCCGGTATTTCAAAATTTTCAGACAGAAAATTTATTTCCAAAATTCCCCCCCCCCCTTCCTGAATCAAATGGTCAACCCCTTAATCACTTTTTCATGTTTCAGAATGAATTAAATTACTTGTAATGTAGTTCATGTATTTCTTAAATTCATTCTTTAATCATTTTTCATATAAAAGTTTTATGCAGAGAATCTTTAAAAATGTCCATGATTATTGTACATTTATATATATAAATAATATATATATATATATATATATATATATATATATATATATATATATATATATATATATATATACGAGGGGTTATCAAAAAGTTCGTGGACTAGCGTGATAAAATTAAAACCGCTTTAGGTACATCAATGAATTTTTACACATTTAGTTAGCATCATCCTTTCTATCTATAGAATAAACCATAAATCATAATTTTTATTTTTTTAATAAAATGTTAGTGTTTTTGTAAGCAAAGGTATGTCCAGGCGGCGCAACCTCTAATATGACGTTTTTTCCTACCTGAGTGTAACTGAGAAAAACTCTTTAGATATGAGTATTTGTCATCAGAAAATCTCGTTAATTCAGGCATGTGGTATGACACATTTGTTCAGTAAAATTTGGAATTTTTACCCCATTCTGTAATTTCTATGAAATTTTATCGTAAATTTTATATGGAGTGTCCAAACAATTATGGGCTTGAAAATAACGTCAAAAGGGGGGAGGGGTTTCTTTTTCAAACACTCTATAGAGTTTCGGTCCTGGAAAAACTGGTATTGACCTAAGGAATGTTTAAACTGGCTACAGAAAAATAAAATGCATCCAGAGTACTTGTTTTTTAATGCCTAAAAAGATTCAGAGAGATGAAATATGCACAGCTAGTGTCGATTTGTAGTCAGGGTGTCAAAAGTCAGTCACGTCGAAAAGTGACGTTGATCATGTGTGGTAGAAATTGAACTCCAACAAGCTAAGTATTCTGGCATAATCAAGTGAGGATCTTTCCCCATATAAAGATCCATTTACAATATTATATGCATTGAAAACAGCTGCTCATGACATTGTAAATTCATATAAATAAGACGGGTTTAAGTCCTAACTTAACTCCAGGTAATCTCATCAAGATAAGTGTATGAGGTAGAGAGAGCGGACATTAAGAAACAATGACGTTAAGCGGACGTCATGACACTAAACGGCGACAGCGCCGGGTGATCACATAAAGTCTTTTTAATTTTAGAATAATTTGGCAAATTATCAACTTATCAAGCTAAAATTTTCAACATTTCTTAAACTTTTGTTGTTTTATGTTCCGCATAAATTTTGTAAGCAAAGACTACATATTATTAATGTTATCGCGTCAGTCCACGAACTTTTTGATAACCCCTCGTATATATATATATATATATATACAGCATTGTGCTGCCACATAAAACAACACCAACAAGAGTTGTCCCAAGCTTTATACAAAAACCTCCATATGCAATAACGGGAGTGGTAGGACCAAAGCCAGTAGAAATTGAAATCAAAAATGAGGAACAAATTCATACTATGAGAAATACATGTCGACTTGCTAGAAAAATTCTTGATTCTGCAGGAAAACAGTTAAAGGCAAGTGTCAATAGCCTATTAAATGTAAACTTCTTAATAATAACTATAATATATAAATTATGTCTGACACTGAAGAAATTCAGATATTGCTCAGCTAGATATAACATTTTGTGCAGCTAATTTTCATCTGTTCGCAATGGAAAACTATAACTCATTTCATAAAAAAACAGGTTGGAATGACAACAGATGAGATAGATGAATTTGTACATGAGATGTGTATAGATAATGGAGCTTATCCATCTCCACTTCTGTATAATAACTATCCCAAATCCATCTGTACCTCGGTCAACAATGTGGCATGTCACGGCATACCAGATCTCCGGCCACTAGAGGATGGAGACATCGTAAATGTTGATGTGACGGTGAGCAACTATGATGATGAAAATCAGGATTTATGTGGGTGGTTTGCCATAGATTTGTAGCAAACTACCCTAGGATTACCCAGAATTTTCTTAGTCTGTATTTACATACATGTACATGCATGTATATCTCTACATGTAATTTTATATTCAGTTTTTCTTAATTGTTTTTCACATTTTGTTGAGCAAATAGAGTATTCTGAAAAAGACAGCTGTATAGAAGTGTAGCTTTCTGGGACAGAAAGTTCAGACAGATATAAAACTAGATTTTTTTAAATTTGCAAAACCAGTAAAGCTTTCTCATGGAGTTTTTATTTGTACATGTATAAAAATGTAATTGTTTTCAATTTTTATGTAGATCTATAAAGATGGCATGCATGGCGATGTCTCCAAAACATACATGATTGGCTCAGTGGATGAAAAAGCCAGGCAATTGGTTCAGGTCACTGAACAGTGTCTGCATGCAGGTATACAGCAGTGCAGACCAGGACAAAAAATTATTGCCATTGGAACTGCTATCAGGTAAAAAAAGTCACTGCTTGTACAGGTAAAAGGAGATCACTGCTTACATGGGTAAAAGAAGGTCACTGCTTACATAGGTAAAAGTAGGTCACTGCTTATACAGGTAAAAGTAGGTCACTGCTCACATAGGTAAAAGTAGGTCACTGCTTACATCGGTAAAAATAGGTCACTGCCTATATAGGTAAAAGTAGGTCACTGCTAATAAAGTGTAGGTCACTGCTTACGTAGGTAAAAGTAGATCACTGCTTTTACATGTAAAAGTAGGTCACTGCTTACATAGGTAAAAGTAGGTCACTGCTTATACATGTAAAAGTAGGTCACTGCTTATACATGTAAAAGTAGGTCACTGCTTACATAGGTAAAAGTAGGTCACTGCTTATAAAAGTAAAAGTAGGTCACTGCTTATACAGGTACCTTAGGATAGTAATTTAATTTATACAGCTTGAATTATTTGCTATTTCAATCATAACTTTCCATCTTTTGCATATATTTTTCCTTGCATACTTGTGGGCAATTTATTCAAATATAGAGCTTTCAGCTTTTGAAGTTTATTTTCTTCTTCAAATTTCTGTTATATGCTACTCTATTATAACTCCTTGAAGATAGAAAATGGAATTTTATAGAAGTTAGTATTTTTCAAAATTTTATTTGCACTGCATAAAAGTGCACTTTTAGACCAAAGAAAAAAAAAATTAGAAGCTCTTGGACCAACATTTTCCAAATTAAATATGGCAGGCAGTTGTTTTGATTTTATTATTTTTGTTTCTTAGTATTGGAGCAAGAGTTCTTTTTTTCAACAATTAATGATCATACTTTTCAAATAAACTATAAATAATGTTATTAAAACCATCAAATTAAAAGCTTTATATTGACAGAATATTGTTATAACAAGAAATATATTTTACTTTGGCTTTACATAAATATGGGTGTTAAGGGGGGTAACTCAGTTTTCTTTTTCATCTTGCCAGTAGATTCTCCCATTTTCAGTTTGTGAAATGAATATCAATGTGGGAGTGTTTGACTTAATGAGACAGTGCCTGAGAAATGAAAAATATTTTTTTTTTTGGCCTTAACATAGGATATGCACTGAATGTTCATAAACAACCTTTTTTTCTAAAAAAGAAAAAAAAAGAAAATGATGCTACTGCCAAATTTTGGAATCAGTTAGTATATTAAATTATCAATCAAAAGTTCACCTGGCCAGTGCTGGTCAGCTAATCATGTGTGGGTTTGTCTGAGTTTTATCATAACTGTTGTTATACTTATTTTAGTATTACATATTGTAATCTTATAGGTCATCAAGTTGGATGTCCAGTCGTACATTTTGTTGTGGTCATTGATACATGTATATATTGACATACATTCCAAAGATAACAAATACCAAATTAAGATCAGGCACAAACATGATTTTGTTTATAGCATAACTGATATAAAGGTTCTAGTGAGCTTTTCTGACTGAAGAATGTCCAATTTCTGTCTGACTGTATGTCCTTCACCAGAACAAATTGGCAAATTCTAACCAAACTTGGCATAAACCATCTTTTAGTAATTTAAATATTAAAATTTGTTTCAATGAAGAGTTTTGCCTTGTTTGAAGGAGGAGATAAATTTTAAGAAATAAAGAAAAAGGGATTGGGATCATTAAAAAAAGATTCCAAGATTTATTGGGCTTATTGACTATAGATTCAAATTTTTTCGAACATGGTTCCTGGGTTTGTTATAACTAAACAGGTTGGGACAGTCATGAGGAGACTGAAATCCCAAATCATTATCCACTTTATTAAACAATAGTCTTTCTTCTTCATGAAGTATAAGCTTAACATTACAATATTTTACTGTCATTACTGAGACATTACAATTTATTCTGCACATATCCCCCCGCCACTCCCCCCCCCCCTTCTTCCTTAGCAATGGGCCAATATTTCTTTAGATCATTGTAAACTCACTCTGAGGTACGTTTCAGAAATATTGTATTTGGCGATCATATAGCATCAGAATTCCAGATTATTTGATAAAGTTTGATTATAACCAGAAAAAAAATGTCATTTATGACATCTTCACACCAATACTAATGAATATATATTTTTGGAATATCAAACTATATTAACCACCTTAAAAGTCTTTAATCATCTTTTAATTCAAAGTACAATTGTTGATCTTATTCTATCCTGATTTTTTTTTTCTTTTAAAATTTCTGGTAAACTGTGCATGTGTTTATTTTAAGTAATTAAAAACCCCTTCCTTTCATTACAGAGATTTGGCGCAGTCACATGGGTTTTCCATTATTCCAGCATTCTGCGGACATGGTATAGGATCAGTCTTCCACTCACCACCAGAAATCATGCATATTCGTAAGTTCCTATTATACAAACAATTTCAGATGATTTGTACAATGTAAAGTTTATTTTACCCCTCCCCCCCTTCCAACCATCACCAATCTACACTCGTCATACGCTCATGTTTATCCATTCATCTGCCTAGTCAACTAGTTGATTGTTTGTTTAAATCACTCACATTTGTAGTTAATAATATAATTTATGATATATGGAAACATCAAAGGTTATTGGGTAGTTGAGTTCTCTTGAGTGATTTAATTTTTAAAATATATTTGCAAAATTTTAAAAAGATGATGACATGTTTCCAAATGTATATTTTAAAATGGATTCAAATTAAAGCATCTTAAATCCATGGGAGCAGACATAGAGGACATTATGTTTGAAACATACTTTTAAATTCATATCAGTTGAAGTTAATTTTAAGTGACAAGATTTAATTCATTCATGGTTATATATTGGTTTTATTCCAGCTTTAGAAGATTTCGATTCACAGCACTTGATAATGAAGGAGGGGATGACTTTCACTATTGGTAAGAAGGCTACTTGAACTACATGTATTGGTTTTCTGGTTAGATACAGCCAAACCTTATCAACCAGAATATTTGTGTTCGAAGGCAAATCATCCAGATTATTGAAGTGTCCTTATCACTAAAATGTACCTTTTTTAGTTGGTAGATATATATGTAAAATTTGTGTGCCACATATTCTGTCAGGAAGCAAATTAACTATATCATATGGTGTAAAGTTTGAGGCAAATTATTTGTAAAAATTTCATAAAGGAAACATACTGTATACACAGCAGGGTTATTTTTGCCCTGTGTTATTTTTTCCCCAACAACACTTGCAAAGAATTTTGCCCCATTTTGAATTTACCTAGAAACAGTTAGGTTAAAGATATATTGGGTTTTTTTTTTCTTTGAATTTGCTCAATTTTAATTTTACCCACCTGCAACAAGGGAAAAAGGGGTAAAAAAAAATGGCGAAAATTTCTCTGTATACAATCATTCTCAACTTTAGGGTTAGAAGATTTGGATGATTCATCTTTCAGGACCATCTAAACACTACACTAAAGGTGATCTACCCTTAAAGCAGCAAATACAAAATCTAATATATAATACTTGATTCATAATCAATTTAGGCATTCTTAATATTTTAATATATAGCCAATTTGAATTAATTGAATATGGTTTTTGCATGTGATTTCCTTTTTTCAAGTATTTAGATGATTAGTATTCACCAATACTTTGTTGTCTTTGAACATTTCCTGGTAGTAAATGGCTGGTAGAACATGCTGAAAATGAAATAGATAAGCTCAAAATTTACACCTTTGAATTTATATGATTTAATTTTCTCAATAAATAAAAAAACAAACCTATCTTTTACTGATGTATAGAATTGTATGCATGATAAAAGGTTTGTTATGGAATATATCATGGAATTATATGAATTTTAACTTCAGAGCCAATTTTGTCAGAGGGAACCGATATGGTGGCCATTTTGGAGGATGATGGATGGACAGCGGTCTCCGAGGATGGAAGTCGATCGGCACAATTTGAACATACGATTCTTGTGACTTCTGACGGATGTGAAATATTAACCGTGTCTGAGGAAGAATTTCTGTATGGGAATAAAAAGAAAATAATGTGTGATACTCTATAGTGTTCTGAGCAACTAAAGAAGACTTAATTTTCCAGCATAGAATAATACAACATTTTATAAGTCATGAAATAAAATGTGTGTTACTTTTCCACACAATGTCTTTGACAAAGAAACAAGATTTTTACAGTGAAAAGTGGAATTTTAATTTTGAAAGATCTCTGTATTCACACATTTGGTTTATTATGAAATATGCAGATATTTAAAAATTTCTACCAAATAATATATCAGGTATATTTTTTAAGAAGTCTCACAAGAACTGCCTATTTCTTTTAACAAATGACATGTAAAATAAGTAACAACAATAATATCACCATATGGGAATATTTAGTCAAAGCAGTCATGAATTAAAAAGGAAGGATGCAGGAATATGATAGAGCATGTCTCTAAGTTGGATTATTTTACACACAAATGAGAAACAGAATTTATTGTTTGAAATACAGATTCTAATTCTAATAATTTTTAAATGTCAATTTTGTGTTAAATGTATTAAAGAAAATTTTAAGATACTTTGAATTTGTGATACAACTTACAGTAACTTACTTGTTGGGACAACAGTTACTCTATACTTTGTATTTAAAACAACTTTGCAATTAAAATCTGACTAAACCAAGGATCATTATTTCATTTAGTGCTGTTGCCATATGTTCAAGTCTAATTGCTACGTTTCTGTACCTTTGTTAATTAAGTAAAAACCAGTAGAGTTACAGTCTCATTAGAGCCTTCTGGTTTAAAAAAGAATCCATGCAAATTTATCATATTATTCTGAAAAAAAAATAAGTTAAATATTTAATAAAATTCTCTATTAAATTATTGAGTTATGTCCTTTAGCAGAGGGTCAAATGATCTCTTCTCAATTACAGAGTTATCTCTCTCAGCAAGCGGTAAATCTTCTATTTTAGAGTTGCCATTACACTTTTACCTCCCTTAACAGAGTCATTTTTCAATTTCAGAGTCATCTCCCTTAGCAGGGGGTCATTTCTTCATTTCAGAGTAATTTCCCTTTAAATAGCAGAGGTTCAATACTTCATTACAGAGTTATCTGTCCTAGCAAAGATACAGTCCTCTATTACAGAGTTATCTCCTTGTCAGAGGGTTAATCTCCCATCACAAGGTTATCTCCCTTAACAGAAGGTCAATTCACCATTACAGAGTTATATCCCTTAACAGATGGTAAGTCCTCCATTTCAGAATTATCTCTCTACAAGTGGTGACGTCTCCATATAATGAAAAATTCTCGAGAGGGACGTTAAAACAACAAACAAGCAAACAAACTCTAGGAGAGCACAAATCCTCCATTTTACATGTAGAGTTATCTCCTTAGTAGATTGGTTGATTGATTGTTTGTTGTATAACGTCCCTCTCGAAAATTTTTCACTCATATGGAGACGCCACCCTTGCCGATGGAGGGCTACAAATTTTTTACCTATACTCGGCACTGAGGGCCATTGAGCAGTGAGGGATCTTTTTCGTGCCAGCACCTACTGCGACACGGGACCTCGGTTTATACGGTCTCATCCGAAGGACCGGTCTCCACGTCCCGCAGTGGGATTCGAACCCGCGACGTAAGGATCAACACCTTACTCCGCGACTCTAGAGCAGACGCTCTAACCACTGCGCCACGTGGGCGACTCCTTAGTAGAAAGTCAATCTTTAATTTCAGATTTATCTATTTTACAGGTAACAATCCTCTATTTAAGAGTAATTTCCCTTACATGTAGGTGCTAGTCAATCTCGCTTCGCAAGAGTCTTTTCTCCATTACAGAGTTATCTCTCTTAGCAGAAAGTCAGTCCTCCATGTCAGAGTTATCTTTCGTAGCAGAAGGTCATTACTTCTTAACTCCATGGAATTATCATTGGATGGTGTTCCCACACAATCTGGCCTAGTAGTATCTTCACTCGTGGTCAACACAAAGTTCTAAGCTAAGATAAGAAATCTCGGTCATTTTATCTTGCAATCAACACTTCGATATAGCGGTCACAATGACACATCTTGGGCTTTTTTCTGTTCTTGTAAGGTAAGTAAAATCCTTTTAAATTCTTGTCATTTTGATTTCAGCCCTACATTTCTGCATTCTTCGCAGATAATTCGAGAATGCGGATATTTGCTTTTTTGCAAAGTAAACAATGAATGAAATAATGTTGCAGCATTGCTGTTATTTTGGCCGACTCGGACACGGACTATACCCAGGAACTCTTTCGTCACTTTGATCACAATGTCCATGTCTCGTCTCATAGCGTTAAGGTCCTAAGCCTGTCGGAATTTCAGACTTTGTTTCAAAGTCTTGGATTGGATGGTTTGTAAATTTAGAATTTCAGTCTCTTTTTCGAAGTCTTGGATTGGATGCTTCATAAATTTAGAACTTTTCCATGCTCACTAGAAAACTATGAATATATTTTTTTTTATAATCTTTTCATGCTACATATACACTAGTCTTGTATGCCATACTTTGAACATTGTCCCTTCGTCTGATAATTCACTTTTTTTCAGAGCAACATTTTGTATCAACTTGGGCGTCAAGGCATTTACCTTGTGACAACGGTGCTCATTTTTTCTTCAAGGAGATTGACGGAGACGGAAGTAGACACATAGATACTGACGAAATCACATATTTCTTCAGATTGTTTGATGTCAATGGTAAGAACATCATTGTCATTTTCATCTATTTTGTCATTCAGTGACAAACTATAGTACAAGTAATGAACTTCTATGCCTCAACAGTTAGTATGTCGAATACCCCAAACACTGAAAGATTAAGGCATCGCAATAATTTGACAACTTCACCTTTAGATTTTCTATTACATGATACTATCATATGCACATAGTGATAAAATGTTCCACATATAAAATTTTCCAAATTAGCAGGCTATCCTGACATTAATATAAATCAGAGATTCACTTCGAACACACTGATATTTACTCATTGTAAACACTGATATATCCACATCGAACACACTGATATTTACACATCGAACACAACCGTCGTATTCGCGATATCGAGGTCAGACAGCCAATCACAAATTTACACAGTATTGATAGACCGAAACAAAACATGATTATGTGAAAGGGTCTCGTGAAGGAGAGAGGCAGTTGCGGTTAAGCCAACACGTCAATATTGAATCTTTTAGGTGGATCATCTGTAGGTTGTAATTTTATTAATACGGAAATAACAAGAATTAGGGTATTAGGGTTTTTCTAATATTATCCTGTATACGGACAGACGAAATCGCTTTCCCTGATATGTCCGCTAAATATACATTTGTCAAATAGTGATATATCAATTGACAAAAATATTCTAAGACGATATTTTGCAAGTGTCATTTGAATTGTCATTTGAATCTGAAGTTTAGCGTCATAAATCATAATATAAACTTTTTAAATTATTATTTGCGATAAAGAAATTCAAACATGCACTTGCAAGTTTTGACTCTGTAGGACTCGCTGTAATGGCGTTATAATGTTATTTTTTCCAGAGGATCAAGAAGTTACAGAGGACGAATTTACAACGGCCTGGAATGCGCTGTTTAATGGATACCTGGAAACACACGCCATCAGATGCTCACACAAAGGTGGTGATGATGACGATAGGAAATGATTCCTTTGTGTATTAAGACAAATAAAAGTCTACAAGCTTTACAGTTAGTTTCGAAGTCAAAAACTTTGTTGAGTCGAATTTTTACTGACATGTTTTATATCAGTTGTAAGCCATATTTTTCATACTAATTTTATGAATGGAATTCCTTGTTTAGCTGCATGGTCAATAATAACAGCGCAAAGCCAGTGTGATCGGTTGGCAGGGGATGCTTGTAATAATTATCCTAGGTACCTGTGGCCAGATTTTCTGCGGACGGTTAGGGAGAATTTCTCCACTTTTAATGTAGCATTGGTCAATCAACTACCTTTCACTCCCTAATTCTAGACATATTTTTTAACCAACCTATATACATGTATTTTATCCACCTCCTAACCCTTAATTTACAATCTTCTCTTCAGACTAATTAAATCGCTTGTTTTCAATTTTCTGCCATCCGACAAAAATTCAAAACAAGCGAGTTAAAATTGGTCTGAAGAGACAACTATAAAGGATAAGGAGGGGGATAAAATATACAGGTTGGTTAAAAACATATCTAGTATTAGGGAGTTAAAAGTAGTTGATTGACCAATGCTGGAAAGTGGAGAAAATCTCCCTTACCGTGCGCAGAAAATCTTGCGCTGTAAATTGCACAATATTTGCTTTCGGGACCTATAGTGTTATTGTCAAAGACTTAAATATAAAACCATAGCGCTACAGTTCTGCAGCTACATGTAGTACTTAACCCGAGTCGAACAAAACCCGAGTCGAACACAAACCGAGTCGAACACAAGGAGTCAATTCGTATACAAAACTGAAGTCAACTCGTACACAAGGTTTTATGTTGTTTGATTAGTAATATGAGAGGTCAATTCGTACACAAGGCTTTTATAAGCTGGTAAAAATGTAAAAGCTGAAAGAAATTTAATGAAACTTAAAATGTGAAGAACAGAAACATTTTACTGTTAATAAGTAAACTAATACTCATGGCATACATACAAAGTGATATAAGTAAACCCCAACAACTACATGTATAGTTGTCTTTCTTTCATGGATTATATCAAGGCATCTACAACAGTAAAGGCTAACAGCATTTTATTTGAAATGTATGTTATAACAGGTGTTGGTTGCCAGTTGGAAAGACAATGATTGTTAATTAATTAAAATGTATTTTAAGATGTTAAATATATGTAAAATGTTATTAATATTTTTTAAAATGTCTAGTCAAAAAGAATGAAAAAAATACCTTTCAAATTTATAAATTCTCTTTTCCCCGGCCGAGGATTATATATGTCAGGTCTAGGGCAGAGGTAGCTTATTGCCTTTAATCATAATCTTAAGCAGTGGCATAAAATTTAGCTCACGCTGTCTTACTGTAGCTTTTCACTCACAGCTAGTGTGGCATCAATACGACAGAAAGGTGTACTAATACTCAGATTTCTTAACCTACAACACAAAAACAAAATTTGAAGTGACCTGCAGTGCACTATACGGAGATCAATGAATATATACCTAAGTGACTGAACTGAACACAAAAGGACATGCCATAAACAGTTACAGTAACAGAAAATAATCCCACTGACGGAGGAATTGATGGTCTCAAGATTTTAATGGGAAGTTTATCGTGGTATTCGAAATATTTCAATGGAAAGGTCAGTACTTTATAAAATGTGCGCCAAGTTTTACCTATTCCTGAAGTAAAACGCGACGGAACTTCTAGACTTTTCAATTTCGTACATGCCCTGGACCATATTCAAAAGGTTGTGACTAGAGATCATCTATACTACTATATTAAAATAATAGACTCGAATTTTTGGCCTTTAATACCGATGAATCGGAAGAGTACTGTCTTTTGTTATATATATTTTAAACATAATTGATACTTGAAGATTACCAATTTGTTTTTATTTTTTCTCAATTAGCCTTCGCTAATTAATAGCCATTCTCTGTAAGCATTTAAACTCTTATATAGGGAGTGTGGCACGCTAGGTCTTAGATTTTTATGAAACTTGGCACACATTCCTATATTGATGTATGAAACTAAAATTCATAATAAAATGGTTGCTATGGTCCATGGTTACCATGGCGACCAACATACATTTTTCATGGCCTAAAAAAAGCTAAATTTTGATGAAAAATGACCCTTTTTGACTAATTAAAAGTCTTTAACACAACAAGATATTTACATGACTTCATCTTTTTGCCAAAATACATCATTTCTATTGTTCTTTAGATAATTTCTAGTATTTGAGTAACTTTACCTAATAAAAAAAATATCGCCCGTTTTTAGGTAGGATTTTTCTGTGGAAAAATTGTAGATTTTAGGCTCTTTTGAAAAGCCTGGTGTAAAATTTTGCGGACATATGGGAAAAATTAAATACATTGGTTTGAAAGTCCATATATAGTTCTAATATAAACTGCAAAGAAACACTTGGTATTCATATTTTGTTTTCGTGTTACCATGGTTACAAACTTATGCTTTTTTAAAGAATTCCAGACAAGGGCAATAGGTATTTACAATCAGTTTCCATATAAATACCTGAGTATTAAAATGAATTGAGACCAAATCTAGTTATGTGGTACACAATAGCAAAAACAAAGAGAAATTTTCATGACAAAAGGTCAAAGGTCAAGGTCAAAATGGCTCGATTAAGATAGAAATTTAAGGAAACTGAGCACATTTTTTTCTGTGTCCCAACTAATACTTTTGTTTTAAACAGCATGAATAAACAAAATTACCATTCTGGTGGGCAATAACTACATGTAGCATCACCTGAATTGGTAAATACAGACAGAAGGTCAAAGTTCAAGGTCACAATGGTATATAAAAATTGCCTTTTTGTCCACCGCTTTCACTGAAAGTGGGGGATATTGATTTGGGTCTGTCTGACCGTCCATCTGTCCGTCAATCTGTCTTTCTGTAACACTTTAGTTTCGGCCCGATGTCTCGAGAAGCCTTTGAGCCTTTGCAATTAAATTTTGCATAAAAAAATCCCTGTGGCCTAGGGAAGACTCACATTGCTTTTAAGGTCAAAGGTCAAGGTCATGAATTCATAAATTCAGTATGTTGAAACACTTTATTTCTGTGCGATATCTCGAGAAGCCTTCAAGCTTCTGCATTGAAATTTTAAACCACAACTCCCTATGAACTAAAGAAGACCCCTATTGATTTCGAGGTCAAAAGGTCAAAGGTCAATGTCAAAAATTTATACATTCTGTTTGTGTGTAAAACTTTCATATTCGAGCGATATCTCAAGAAGCTTTTAAGCTTTTGCAATGAAATTTTATATCATAACTCCCTATGGTCCAGCCCGCTCCTCTGAAAGTGTCCCGTCCCCCACCCCCACCACCCTACGACCACCACCCCTCTAGATCCGTACATGCTCTTTTTTCCTTAAGCAGGGGACATAGATTCTCTGAATTAGCTTGTTAGTATTGCATTTATACTTGGATATTGTGAAAGCGTATCCTGTTTTATACTGAAACTGATAAATAAATTACATTCTCACCTTTAGCTTGATGCATATATAATGTGGAAATGCTATGAGAATGTTTTTTAAAGGTCATTTATTGATAAAAATGTAGCCAAGTCAAAATATTGAAAGCCTATACACTTACCATATTGAATGACTTGTACGTAGAGAATTGTGCTACATGCATGTAAGAACTCTTTTGTTGTTTTTGTAGACTAAGTCCTTAATCTAAAATGTACATTTTTGACCCTATTCAACAGCCCACACTTTTCCAGTGACAATCAAATTATGTTTTCCTGTGACTTTTTCCAGAGAAATTGACAGAAAAAGCCTAAATCCATTTTTTAAATTACTTTGCAATATTATTCTTAAAAACTTGAAAATTTAGAGACATTGATGATGAATATTTCAACCCAAATATGCATGTTTTTACACATAATATATCTGCTTTTTCCCAAAATTTAATCAAATTGAATAATAATCGGTTGTAAAAATCTGCTGAACCTGTCCGGATAATCTGTTTTTGTGCTTTCTTGAATTTATGTCGGTTGCTTAATTTGAGTTGGTTGGTAAGCTTGATGGAATCGTACACCTTATGGTGTGTAATGTAAACATAATTTCCGAAGTTTAGTCCTTGAAAATGTTGAAAATAAATAATCTATCCCTGCCTTATTCCTACGGTTTTCATTTTATTCAAAAAAATGAATATAGTAAAGTAACTAATGACCAGGACTTAAAAAAAAAATCCTTGTAAAACGTTAAGAAGCGTTATTTATACATATTAAAGGATTCCGAAGTGGTTCATTCATAAGTGATTAACCCCACCCTGCCCCCATTCCCGGGGTATAGATTTTTTTAATTTAATTTTTTTAATTTTTTTTTTGGTAGAAAGGGGGGGGGGGGCTTGTCAGAAATTTATTTCTGTTTTCGTTGTAAATAAAATACAGCTAGACAGATTTAAAATTAATCTTACTGCTACAAGGTTCAATCTAAATGTATCTAAGTCTAGAGAAATGATAAACCGTTAACTTTAAACATGATTCAGACAATTTGTATTTCTATGCATCTCCCCCCCCCCCCCCCCAAAAAAAAAAAAAAAATGAAAGTATAATTTTGACTGTTCGACAGGAATCAAACAAAACATTTTTATTATTGGCCTAACAATTTATTCTTTTTTTTATTTGGTAAAGACCTTTCCTTTAAAGAAAATTCTTGCTTCAGCAAAATTATCAATTTCTTTCTAAATGTTTTCAAAATCATTGAATAAAAAAGCAAAATCTGAAATATACACACATAACTTTTCTCTTTCTTTGTGATATAGATAAAGGCAAACAGTAGGAGGAATTGAAAAGATTGAATTTTCTGTTACATCCTTCACTAAAAACTGGTTTTTAGGTGTGGATTTTTTTCTACATGTAGTCTTTAAATAGAGATAAAATATACTTTTTCGTTCTTTAATTTTAGATGGGGGTGTAAAGAGCGTTTGTTTTTTCCTAGTCAGATTATTTATTTTCGTGGTAGTGAAATCCTTATTATTTATTTCCAAGATGATCCTGGACAGATTAT